TCGGGGACGTCATCAATCCAGCGCACTGGAACATAGTGACTGTAAATAATCTATAAAGCACATCATATAATTACTCTTACTTACCAAAATACCTCGTATGTCATCCTAACGGAATAGGAATCACTTGGTAAATCAAATAAATAAGAAATAATAATATATGTCTATTTTATATTATTTACAGCTTAAGAGAACGCATCAATCACTGAAGGTCTTGGTTACGACAACGGTCAGTGAGTCTCATATCCTTATCCTTCCGTGGTCTTGTTCAACACTTAACATAAGTGCTAGTGTAATCCTTCAGTCAAAGACCAACTGAATCGGGAATACACTACAGTCTTTTTCCAAGTGGGGTATCACTGCCAGTCTAGAATGTGAACGAATAATTTAGTCTTATAAGGAACCGATAGGTGATCTTTCTGTTCGAAACTCTTCGAACCACACTATCTCAATATAAGACATGGAGTATGTATTGCATAAATAAATAAACTGCAAACATATGTACTTTGACCGAAACATGATTTCCAGATCAAAATGGAATTGATAGAAACTGCAAAACACAGCTTTTACAGCATACCCTTAACAAGAACTTAGTATCTTCCGAGATGACTCTAGAGTTCCTCAGGATTCATGTCAGTATTTATCGGCCATTTTTGGCAACTCGTCAAGAGATTTGTGTGCCTTAGTAATCAGTCAGAATATTATCACGTGTTCAATAATGTTGAACTTTCTCAATGTTCAGATGCCGCCCCGTAGGGAACCCGACCACCCAGCTCTTACTCAGGCCACAGTAGCCGCACAGTTCCGCGACTATCATGTTGACAAATTCTCCGGGCAGGGAGATCCCCGTATTGTGGACGAGTGGATTCCGAACCTTAGAAAGGAATTAAATTTGAGAACTCTAGATTCAATTCTAGATTTATTCAAGTCAAGTTAGCAACTTATCAGGAAATTTGTGAGCACTTATGTTAAACAAATCTTAATAATTATGTTTCTCAGATATTTCTATCGGAAACTGCCATTTTGCCAATCAATTGGCAGACTTCAGGGAGAAATTTCTTGATTTAATTCGAGGAAGAGACTCAAATTTCCTAAGTCAGATCAGTAAATCATG